AAGTCTACTTGAGTGAGTGTGATAAAACAGGCTTATATCTCGACCAGAAACCTGACAAATGATTTCACATCGGTGCCGTTCAACAAATGACCTTTAACAGTGCGTTTGATATGAGGCGTGTTTTCCTGAACGATCTACGGGTAGAATGCGTTTAAAACGTCTCATGCAACATCTTCTGATGATAGTATTAACTCTCATTGGTTTCCTTCGTGTTTTCAATATAATAATGGAGCTAGTAAGAAAAATATGTCTTGCGGACTGAAAACTACGCATAGATTGATCAGTCTCCAGTGGCTCGCCATCGAAATGAACAGCCTTCGTTTGCTGAAGGTTTAAGAGTACTGGAATAGTCTTCCCAATAGGAAGCATGAGATTCTATCACTTTTATGGAGGTATGTTTTGCCAGTGGGAAGCGAGCAAGCGCCGCACTGTCTCCCTTTAACTGTTGGTTGGTTGGTTCTGAAGTGGCATCTTGCTGCGATACATCAGTGTTGACAAAATTTCTGTTGAACGTTTAACTGGACATAACATAGTTAAACATTCGTCCTTGAAATATCAAGTGATTTGTCAGCAGAGATCTGAGTTGCAAAAGGCATATGAAATAATTTTTTTGAGTTTTACAGATAGGCATTTACAATTTATCACGTTCAGTGACGCTGCGTCGAATCGCAATCTGCATGCGTTCTTCAGTAGTATCATTTGTGCGTCACACTCGGTGAGACATCATTGGCTGAATGTGATAGTGATATTTTCTCGTCGATGAATAAATGTATGGTCAAACGAATAAGTGACGAAGTACCAGTAAGTGCAATAGGCCAACGGAAGAGGACTTCATAAAGCCAAGATATACGTTATTTCGTAGATGGTTGTTTGGATTCAATAAGAGTGAGAACATTGGAAAATGTGGCTTTTAATGGATGCGAATCGGTAGAAGTTTGACTACATTTGCACTCCTTGGTTTGTATTTTGGCACCTTGAAAGGTACTGAATCGCAGCTCATTCGCCTCGGTTTTATAGTTGGAATACAGCGCTGTGGTTAGTTTAGTCCTATTGAAAGACGAGAGCATCTCTTCTCTTGCCGAGCTATCGATTTTTGAGCATTCTCATCACAAACTGCTGCAGAAGCGTCAAGATTCGGTCGTAAAACCATTGTAGTTGGTGTAGTACGCCCAGGAATATAGTGCAATGAACTGCATGACCATTAAGTAACTTTTGCAAAATCGGACCTACCATAGAAGTTCCGTCATTGATTTCTTCAGGCCGCATTATGAATTCACACAATAAAAGGAGTGTACAATGTTATTTTGATTGACGCCTTTCTCACAATGTAGTTTCCAGATAACGGTCTTTTTAGGGAAAGTGGTTTTCACATTATCTTTATTGAATTATTCATCTATTGCTGCAGGCGTTTGTTGTTTCGTCGTATAAGTAGATACCCCTTATTGTATTGTATGGTAATCCTCACTTGATCGTTGATGACTTGATTCATGCGAGCAGTTGTGCAACAGCATCTCATGGTTCGATGGAGCGACGACTCACTGCAAATACCTCAAATTAAGGCAAGATGATAATCAACAATCCTAGTATTTTCCGTTCTCATCCAGTGATCACTTTTTATTGCCAGTTAGGCCAGAAGGATCTTCATAAGTTTATTCAAATTGCATATATACAGTTGAAATAATAACTTCAAGTTTGCGCAAATTTTCACTGAAAATACCTTTATTTCATGAATCACTTTTTTCATGTTTCACATACATGTACCAGTCATATTTTCAGCTGTTTTATCCTTTTTACAAGTATTCTGGATACCACTTTCAACATTCATTTCCCAGTGGAAAAAACTTTTGTTTGTAACGGTAGGTCCAACCCCACCCATCTGAAGTCACCATGAAAGTTCATGATATTGCAGAATACTATTCCAATTTGACTTAAGTGGATTGCAGTCATCTTGTTACCTCACTTACCGATCAACTTATTGGAACTAAGACCAGGAAAAGCTGAATCCTCCTGCCTTCATGTAGACGTTGGCAAACTACATCGCACTTTCATTCACTCGATAATAGACACAATCTTTGGATTTACACCTGTAAAATCACTGCATTCGAGTCATCAAATCACGAAGGTCTACTTTAAGTTCCGCATGGCACTCAAGCGTCCTTTCGCCTAGGCCCAGATGCGTTGGTCGCCAAGTCAGCTATCGGCACAAAACATTTCTGCTCAACAACTGTAACCCTTACTGCGCTAAAATGACTGAAGATGTCTTCACAAGACTACGATCACACGCTATCGTTCCGACCTTGTCAATCTAACAGGTGAATCTGAAACGTTGTGGCCACCAGCATTCACCTTATCATCAAAGCCTCATATAAGACAAAGTCGGTAAGATTTGGTTACCTTTCAAATTTCAATTTGATTCCTCGATCACAGACTGCTATTCGGGAAAAATAGAAACATTCGGGTGTCCAAAACGCTTGCCTGGCTATCCAGCTATTTCACAAAGGAAGTGCAGCGTATCATGATATCCTAGGAACCCGAGCTAAAATGACTCTGAAAGCCTCAACAAGGTCGGATGGTGGATGCTTCGGGTTAGAGTTGGTCACCACCTTGCACTTGACGAAATGTCCCCATACGACCAAGCGTCTCGAATAGCCTCTATTGAGGAAACCCTTTTTTATTACACACCAGTGTGTGATGAACAGCAGACGGGGTAGACCCCATAGTCACGAAGACCTGCTGTTTAGTGATGGTAACCGGCAACCTGACCCCCGGAACTTGGAGTGGCAAACCACATAAGGCCCCGATAGGTCCGGAGTGGTATTGAACCGGACGACAGAAAAGCTGCCTACGAACGAAGTTAGGTGGCGGTGCTCGAACCTCGGATACAAAGCACGCCAGCGACAGCGACTAAATCACCGTGCCACCACCACCTCACTCCTTACGTTCCCCTCGTGGTTTTCACACCAAAGTAAAAGGAACCAACATCCCGGACGGTGAACGACGGGCATTCGCCATATGGGAGCTGGTTAAAAACCCTGATGCCCAAACAACGAAGAGGTGTGCGAACCACACCCTCCAGGTTGTCGTAGTGGTCACCGACTCCACTGGTCATTGAAGTATATTGAGCGTGCATATATTGAGGATGTGGTCCGATGAACTGGACACAGGCCCCCAATGGATTGCGATTTTCACACCGGCCGTTACCTTTCGGTTCAGACTTTGGGTGATCAAAAGGTCGGATTGTGAATTGCTCAAGAATATTCACGTGCCCTGGCAAGGGCAACCTAGCGATATCTCACCCAGGAGAAAGTTATGGAACTTTTTCTGTTTCATAAAGATTATGGCAATGTGATTTTTTCAAGTAGTCTGAACTCATAAGTGTGAAATATAATCACAACAATGCAATGTCAGAAATTCTTCAGTGCTTCAAGATGCAGTTCTTTCCCCATATTGATTTTCTGCTTGAACCAGAGTTCTTTATGGCATATCTTCTCCTACTCGGATCTTTACATACTCAGATGATCCTGTCCGGGACCAATCTGTCTGCGATTGTGTTAACTTTAGGAAATGTTGAGAAAAAGCACCAAATACAGGTTTTTCCTTATTATTCTGGTCACTGATCGGAGTGTATTTCACTGAGAGGATTCTCACAGATCCTGACCACCCATTACACGCAGAACAGACACGTTGTCGTTCTCATCATTCAACACGCTCCCAATTCCGTCAAATTTCATCTCGAATCAACGCTTACCGTAGTTCACCTATACCGTATCTTGTTCGTCTACTCATAAGCAAAGAGCGGACAATAAGTGAACTTCGTATTAATCTTGGATTATTAAATGTCCCCATGTCTGTAAAAGCTTTTCTCCCCGTTGATTATGTACATTGTGAAGGTTAGCGTGTATGATTTTTTAACTGAAATGTGAGCTCCAGTGCTTGCACAATTTATACACAATACATACTCCTTCCTAAAGACAGTATGACTATTAATAGCAACTGCCTCGCGCTAAAGTTGGCTCCACCAAATACTGGGAAATGACCATGAACACTAACTCCCGAGGAACTTGGTACACTCTCTAAAGCGAAAGCGTCTTTCACCATGCATTCATCAGCTCAGGCTATTTCGTACCCCGCTATTGATCACCGTTGTCTATGCACGACAGCATGTTTTGAATCCGACTTTATTGTTTTCCTGTCATATTTCCCAGGCTTCTAAAACAACTGTTAAAATTCCACGGCGAGATCTTGTGATCATCGATCGTTTCTCTCACCCAGTTCACGAAATCGGCCTTTTAAGCTGCGCAAAGACACCCAATTTTCCGGCAAAATACGTTTGGGTAAACTTCACATGCTGCACTCTGAACGGTCTCCTTGCCATGTTCACACAAGAACACGTCACGGTTTCAAGTATATTACCATTATCATTAGCATTCATGAGAACTCTACTGTTCCGTATTAGCTTGTATATGAAAGTCTAAAGATAGGTGGTGATCGAAGATTACTTGGATTTTGGTTTACGGATCTTCTTTCCCCTACCATTCGTTTTGCTAGCCTTATGATGTTAGACTTTAAGTGCTAGATTGAATGAAACATCAAAGAATCCGTCTGGTGTAACCGTGACCTACGAACGGCATAACACAAATTTCAATTCGCACAGGGATTTCTTGGATCATTTTCAATTATGCAATGATCGGTCACAGCCCTGCCCTCCAGCTCTAGGGGTGGGGGACACCGCATCTAACTTTAGAAAATGCGCTAAGAGGAAGAGACTGGAAATTGCAAGCCATATATTTGTTCACGTATCCGGGCCAAACAGATTCTAATAACACAATGAGTACTGTGGACATACCGAATCGAAAGGGATGAGGCTGAAAGAATAAACTAATCTGTGAAAACTCCGAAAACACAAAAACAAAACCGAAAGATAGAAGAGTGATGAGAATCGGCTGGCAAAAATCGTTAATTAGCCTACTAATTAACACAAAATTGAACGGATGGCACGATCATGGTTTCGGTCCGGTCTGAGTGAACGGGTTGAGCGGTCCAAGACCAGAGAGTAGGCCACTATCCGGACTGGGTTTCATGATCAACTTCTGAACTTCTTTGAAGTTAGGATGTGTGGAGCCGCACAGGATTGTGAGAAGAGCTGATTCACATGTGGTCAGATAGACTCCAGACTGAGACATTCGTTGAAATGCGACCATGCTGCAAAAGCGGATGACGGGATTGGTGGATACCGAAATAAAGGAATGGACAGTGGCAAACGTAATTCAACGAAGGAAATTGCGATGTCATTTATAATTTGCCATGCTTCGTTCAGTTTGGAAGTTAATAAATGAGTGTCAAGGTG